AGGGATTTTTTTTATACATATCCTTTATCTACTTTGAAAACATACTTTTCATCAGGAATGAATAATGATTATTTTTATGAAACACTTTTCTTTATCAATTGAAATATATTTTTAAAATTCATCTGTTGATGTGGTATGCCAGTCGTTGACCTATTTGACTTCAGATTCATTCTTCACTCTTGCTCTGTTCCATACTCTTCTATACACAATTCCTAGGCATCAAGATGCCAATTCAGTTCAGCCAACAGGAGAACCCAGAGGAGATTAGAGCCCAGGAGGATGGGAGTGCCCCGAACTTTTCTTCTTCCTCTGCATTATGTAGATTCTGCTTCAGTTGCTACATCTTGATTGCAGCCTTCATCTCTGATAGCCCACCAGAGATCCTGGCCCCTGACTGTTTGTGTTCTAACTTCTTCATGTCATGCTAAGACCGGGACATGACCCATTCCACACTTGGCAAGGGTTTCGGTGGGTAAAGTCATCAAGAGTTTGCCGAGATATAGCATTTCCCAGAAAGCCTTGAGTCATAAGAAAGGAGCCAAAACAAGAACTGCCAATGAATGAGGACAGAAAAGAGGCCAAAACCAAAGAATGAGGGTGGGTCACATAGACATGAGCCAGTGCCTATTTCAGCCCTATTGGCCCAGGCAGGGCTCTCCGACTGAAGCATCCCCTCAATTCCTCTTGAGGGTTCTAGGGGCATGAGGACATTGGCATGAGAGGCATGACATGGGTTCAAGAGAGGGATTAATTCCAAGGCTACCAGAAGTCAATAGGACTATGACGAGGGACCAGCCGCAACCGCCACTGTGAAAGAGGCTGGTGCGCACAGCCCTGCCCCTGCTGCTGGCCCGGAAGAGCCCAGGCAGGTGTAACCGGATGTGACACCCCCTGATTTCCTCCTCCAGAGTGCCCGGCTTGCGGGATTCAATCTGAGGTGCATGAAACCAAGGCAGCCGAGGGACGGGTCCCAGGTGCTACTTGGAGTCAAGTAAGATTCCAAATGAGAACTGAGGAGACCTCGTTATCACAGAAATGAGGGGACTCATTAGATGAGAGCCCCAGTCCAACTCAGGGAAGCCCCGGACCGGTCTGTCAGGCTGACCTACGACACACTTCCTCTTTGGGATCTGATTGAGGCGGCAGCGTTTCTGTTGCGGGGCTAAGAGTTCCCTGACCTGCTGGTAGTCCAGAAAAGGCCCCCGAGTGAGTCCTGAGGGGACCACCCACTCCAGACAGTGGTGGACTCAGTGAGCCTCGGCCTGTCTGTCAGCCCTGGGAGGCCTCGGGCAGGGGCGGCGGGAAGTGTTGCTGACTGACTTCTGCCTCCAGAGTCTGAGGGAGGGAAGAGCTTGGTCTGAGGCAGGCGGTGTCCTGTCGGCAAAGGAAGGAGCCTCAGGCCCTGCGGGGGACTCCTATAGGAGTCCGGGCGAGGACCCCGAGTGAGTTCTCATGCTTCCCCTGACCGCGGGTAGAGGTTGTGGCACAGAGTCGAGCCCCTGTGGTCAGGGCTCCGTGTCGGGCAGATGAGGTGTCCCCTCACTTCCTTTCTGGGCGTCTCAGACACGTGGGGCCTTGATCAGAAGGTGGGACGTCACCAACCAGTATTTGACAAGCACTTGTGAGGATGTGGGACCGACCAACTGATGGCAGAGGGGGTGCACAGAGCCCTTCCTCTGTTGTCAGCCCTGAGAGGCCCACGGAAGGGATGGCAGGCAGAGGCGACTTTTCCTTTCCTCCTTGGGGGCTCGGGAAGTTAAAGGATTTGTTCAGTCAGCAGGAGTCCCAGGCCCTGGCAGTTGTCATTGAGTTATGTCTGAAGGGCAAAGTCGCCACATACAAGTGGAGTCCCACAGATCACAGGGAATCCTTGGGAGATTCTGAGCAGTGATAGCCTGAGAGACACCCAGTCACTCCCCCATGGTGTTCAGTGGAAAGGGAAGCCTTATTGTGAGCGGGCGCACTTGGGTCAGAGGTCTAAGTCCCAGGACATGCCAGGATTCAAGACGAGGACCATAAGAGAAGGCCATTCAGACCACACATTCCAGGACAGAGAGTCACCGTGCCACTTTGGTCCACCCTGGGAGGTTCCTGAAAGGAATGACCACGTGTAGGTGACTTCACGTTATCCTTTTGGATTTAAGAGAGGTGTGAGGCTTGGTCTGAGGGAGTGAAGTCAGGTGGTCAGATGGAAGATTTCCAGGTGCTTAAAGGATTCAGGGTAAGGACACAGAGTTATGCTAAAGGGACCACCCACCTTAGAACACAGGTGGCCCCACGATACCCACCCTTGTTGGCAATCCTGGGAGGCCACGGGCAGGGGTAACCAGATAAAATGTCCCTTAGTTGTCTCTTGGAGGTCACTAGGAGGTGGGTGTGTAGTATAAGGAGCGAACAACGGTACAACAGAGGGGAGGACTCTCACACGGTGCCAGGAACCAAGGTGTAGACACTGAGTCAGGACTAAGGGGCCACCCATTCCAGTATAGGTGGGAAGTCCATGAGCCCCACTCTGTCTCTGCATTTAGCCCTTGGAAGCCTGAGGTCGGTGGTCAGATTCTCACATTGTCCCTTCATCTAACAGGGGCCTCAGGGAAGTAATTGTGTTTGTCTGAGCGGCAGCCTCAGGTTAACAAACAGAAAAGTGCACAAGGGGTTGCAGGAACCTATGAAGACACGGTATTAGTACTGAGGGTAACAGTCATACCAGGACAGAGGGCCCCTCGTCAAAACACTCCTGCTGTCAGTCCAGGGTGTGTCAACAAGGATCACCTGATGAGATATTGCTCCTCTTCCTTGTGGTGTTCCAATGAGGAGTGTTTGTATATACAGGGCCTGCAGCACATTAGGTGAGCAAAGGATGAGTCCCAAGGTCTGTTAGGACCAAGGTAGGTTCTCTGAAAGAGGTTTGGGGGGCCTGGCCACCCCAGAACAGAGAAGCTCCAGAGTTCTTGCCCCTATTCTCAGCAGTGGTAAGCCTGGCTGTGGTGACTGAATGAGATTTCTCTTTCCTTCCCTCTTGGTTGTCTCAGGCAGAATAGTCCTTTTTCTGGTGGGGGTGACATTAGGTTTAAGCAAGTGGGGACTGAGGCCCTACCAGTAGTCAAATAGACGCCTTGAATGAGGGCTGAGAGAACCACCTATCCCAGAAGATTGGAGCCGAACATAATTCTCCTTAGCCCTGCTGTCACCCCTGGGAGGCCTGGAGCAGAACTGAGACATGCCCTCATTTCTTGCTCAGTAAGCTCAGGGTGATGAAGAATGGTCTGTGGAAGGGTTCCAGATCCTAGGTCCTACTATTAGTCAAGGGAAGGACCCTAAGTGAGGCTGAGGGGGACACCTGCTCCAGAACAGAATAATCTGAAAAGAGCCCTGTCTTGCTGTGACATTTTGGAAACTCTGGGTTTGATACCCCTTAATTGCTCCTCAGTGGTCACAGGAATGAGTCTTTAGTCTGAGGGAGCAAGAGCAGTTCAGTAGAGGGGAAGAGGCTCATAAACTGTCAAGTTCCAAAGTATACACCTTGTTTGAGCAAGGAGGTGACCATCTACTTGAGCACAGTGAGACCCTTTGATACCTGTCCTCCCCCTGTAGTCATTACCTGATAGGTCCCAGACAAAGATGGTCAGGATTCTCAGTGGCTCGATTCATACACTGGGCACCAAGGGGATTGGGACATATTCAGATTCAGCAATGGACAGGGTAGCCAGGCAGTACTGGAGTCCGTGTGGACATACAGAGTAAGAACTCAAAAGGATCCACCCCAAAATATAGGGTCATCAAAGAGACCCTGGACCTTTATCAGTCCAGAGAACTCTGGGCAGAGACTACATGACAAGATCACCATTTTGGTGGTGGTGGTGTTTGTGTGTGTGTTGGGGGGGGGGGTTCACACAGGTGAGATCCTTGGTGTATGTACCTACATCATACGAGGTCATCCAGGAAAGGGATCCAGAGCCTCTCATGGGTCACAGTAGGACATTAAGTGAGATCCAAGGGGTCTACCCACACCAGTAAAGGGGGACCTTTACAGTTTCTACCTCCTTCTGTTAGCCCAAGAAGGCCTTATAGAGGGGGATAGATAACTTCTCAGGTAACTCGTGAAGATGAGGCATTCTTACACACAAAAGAGTTGACATCACATACAGTGGTCAGACCTGAGACCCCACCAGTTGCCAAGTCAAGAACCCAGAGTGAGTACTGAGGTCCCCTGACCCCAGGAGAGTGGGGATCATGATGAATGAATCCTGCCCTGAACTGTCATCAGCACTGAGAGGCAATGGGAAAGGCTATCTGTAGACATATGCCCTAATTACCTTCTAGAAATCAGAAGGTGGAGGCTTAATTCTGAAGGGACAATGTTAGGTCAGCAAATGAAGAGATCCTAAGACCTGCCTGGATTCAGAGTGAGGCAACTAAGTGAGAACTGGGCCGGGGGGGCGGGGAACTACCGACAGCAGTATAGATAGACTCCACACAGTCTAGGTCCTGCTGTCAGCCCTGGGAAACCCCAGGTAGGCCTTCTGGAGGAGGTTCCTCTATCAGTTGTCTCGGGAGATGTGACTTTGGTCTTTGGGGACCACCCCATATTAGCATAGGGGAGGTACACCAGGCCCTATTGAATGCCAAGTTAATGAACCTGAGTGAGGACCGATGGGTCCACCCTCCTCAGAACAGAAATGGCTGTCTAGAGCCCCTCCACACGTGCTTATTGCGATCTGAGAATTCTCAGCCTGGGTTTGCTGGCTGCATCCTCAGGTGTATTCAGACATCCTCCTTCATTGCTCTTCAGGGACATAGCAACTAAGGGGTTGGGAGACCTGTGAGGCCCTATAACAGTGTTGTCGGGAGAAGTCCATTGGAGGCAGTTTTATCGGAGCCCCCCCGGTGGAGTTTAGCAGCTGAAGCCATTCACATCTCCTTCTTCCTCCTAGGCTGTGATTCCCCATTGCCCACTCCCCTGTCCTCACTCCTGTCTGTTGCCACTCATAAAAGTCACCATGCTTCAGCACCAAAAGAATCCACGATGCTCATACGATCAGGGCTTTCAGACCTGCAGTGAGGTCGAAGATATGGAAGTTGTACAGGTCTCCAAGGCTCTGGAAGAGATCTGTCTCTCCTCTTATCCTCTGATGGCTGGCAATTCAACTGAGGCTCCTGATGCTGGTAAACCCAGTACCCCTGAGAGTCATCAGAGTTTCTGCTCATCTTCCTTTGCCATCACAACCACCTCATCAAGTGAATTGAATGAGAGCTCCAGGAGCCAAGAAGAGGATAGCACCTTATGGGCTGGGCCTGACCCCAATAATGTGCCCATAGATGCTCTAGATAAGAAGGTGATTTCGTTGGTCAATTTCATGCTGTTCAAGTATCGCATGAAAGAGCCAGTGACAAAGGCAGATATGAAGATTGTCATCAAAGAGTATGAAGACCACTTCATTGAGATCTTCCTGAGAGCCTCTGAGTACATGGAGATGGTCTTTGGCCTTGATGTGAAGAGAGTGGATCCCATCAACCACTGCTATGGCCTCTTCATCAAATTGGGCCTCACCTATGATGGGGTGCTGGATGGTGAAGAGGGCATGCCCAAGACCGGCATCCTGATCTTTATCCTGGGTGTGATCTTCATGAAGGGCAACAGTGCCACTGAAGAGGAAGTCTGGGAAGTGCTGAATTGGACGGGGATATATGCTGGGACGAAACACGCCATCTTTGGGGAGCCCAGGAAGCTCATCACCAAAGATTTTGTGAAGGAAAAGTACCTGGAGTACCGGCAGGTGGCCAACAGGGATCTCGCACAGTTTGAATTCCTGTGGGGCCCGAGAGCCCACGCTGAAACCACCAAGATGAAAGTCCTGGAGTTCCTGGCCAAGTTTAATGGGACTGACCCGAGTTCTTTTCCATCTCAGTATGAGGAGGCTTTGCAAGATGAAGAAGAGAGAGGCCGAGCCAGAATTTCAGCCAGGTCTGTCCCTACTTCTGTGGCCACTGCAAGTTCTAGTGCCAAGTCCCTTAATTTCTCTTGCTCCTAGAGAAGCCTGAGGCAGGTTTTTCACTTTGTGTTTGTAAAAGGGCAGTTAGTGTTCATAGAATTTAGGTCTGAGTTGGAGCTGAAAGGAACACAGTATATATGCCTATGTGTTCCTATATTATTGTGTCACTTGAAAATTTATTCTTTTTTAACATATGTATTTGTTCAAATATTGTTTCTTTAATGTAGATTTAATTAGCTTCAAAATCTCCAAGTTTATTAAAGATATTGATCATACATTTATTGTTATAATGAGGTTTAATAGTAAGAGCTTTGTTATTTTGTGAAACTAAATGTGAAACCATCTTATTTTGTAATTTTGAATAACATAACATGGAATTGCTATACGTATTTACTGGAAAAGTGAGAATGATCAGCTTTAAGGTGGTTGGGTTCAAAAAATAGAGAACAAATTAAAGATTGCCATCCTATGGCCCTCTTATACGTTTTACATTTTTGTTTTATACAATTAAATTATATACGCTTGAATATGCTTAACTTATTTATGGATATATTAAAAAGAAACATCAATAAATTAGACCCCATGCTCACTGTTTCTTTTTTATTCTTTTTTTAAAAGATTTTATTTATTTATTTGAGAGGGAGAGAATGAGAGATAGAGAGCACGAGAGGGAAGAGGGTCAAAGGGAGAAGCAGACTCCCCGCCGAGCAGGGAGCCCGATGTGGGACTCAATCCCGGGACTCCAGGACCATGACCCGAGCCGAAGGCAGTCGCTCAATCAACTGAGCCACCCAGGCGCCCCTCACTGTTTCTTTTATTCCCCAAATCTTCCTTGAACATTGGCTGTTTGGCAATCACCATGTTAGTCTTTGAAATTATAGCATGAATAATAACTACAACTGCACTTATAAGTTTTACTTATAGGATCAGCAATCCTATAATTAAGTGGGATGCCTTCTAATATCCAAGGGGCAGGTAAAAGAAGGAGTTAGCAGATAAGTGGAGGTATTCCATATGCGACTGTCAAGTGTAAATGCCCTGGGACAAGAAGTTTGGGGGTCAGGGGAGCTGGAATTCCTGTAGTGAGTGTTAATTTTTAACTTAAATTTGCATTTAGGGCAAGCTGAGCCTAATGGGGTGGTGATCAGTGATCAGACCTTCAGATAGTGTGTCTCCAAGTTGAGACTCAAAAACCTGAACTGGAAAACTGTTCTTTGTAGTTAATTAGGGGGCATGGTTTAAAAAGAGAGAAATCTTTGGGACAGGATTGGAAGTTGTCCTGTGTTGGTATCCCTGTGCAATTGAACATAATTCACAAACAACTTTTTATACACATAGTCTTCAAAGAGTTTTCAGAGATAACAGTGATACTTTATTGAGATGAGACACTGAGAAACCATTGGTTGCCCTGGCCTAGGAAAGCCAGAGACTACTCCATTTAAGACATATTTTAAATAAGTTATTTTCAGTGTAATTTGGCATAGTCTTAAGAAATGTTTATATTTTTATGGGTGTGAAATTAATGAGAATAGGAGTGGTTGGAGTGGAACAGAAGCTAGGGAGACAAGGAATTCGTCCTTGTCACAAATTCTAGGAGTTCTGAATTGCATCCATGTGGGGAAGAAATTCCCTATTATTTTTTTTTTAATTTTATTTATTTATTTATTTGGAGGGGCCAGGGATAGAACAGACGGGGAAGGAGAGGAAGTGGGAAAGAATCCCAATCCGACAATGTGCTGAGTGAAGAGCCCAACTCAGGGCTGGACCCCATGACCCTGAGATCACGACCTGATCCCAAACCAAGAGTCAGATGCTCAACTGACTGAGCCACCCAGGTGCCCTAGAAATTCCCTGTTATTAAAGAACACAACCTCAGAGGGGATATATTTACTGAGGTTTATTTGCTAAGCAGTATTTTGGTTGATCTAATATTCCATGGACTGTAATACTTCATGTTTTTTAGACATCCTGGAGTTTTAGAAATCACATATGTGAGGTTGGTAGAGTCAGTAGTCAAAATAATCACAGTAATAACTTATTCATTAACGACCTAAGTTATGCGAGGCACTGTAACAGGTGCCTTACATATATTGCACTTTTTTTTCTAGAAATATCCAATTGACACTTTATTTAAGTCATCTCTACACCCAACATGGGGTGCAAAATCACAACTCTGAGATCAAGAGTTGCATGCTCCACCAACTGAGCCAGCCAGGCACCCTATTGCACTCTTTCAACCAGTCCAATATGACAAGGCTTATCAGACTCACTCTTCAGATGAAGAGCCTAAGATTCACAAAGCTTGAGAATGTGCCCAAGTTCACAGGTCTGGTTATGTGACAGAGCTGAAGCTAGACTCATAGTCTGAATTCTAGAGCTCATGTTTCATTCCTCCAGCCTGAGGCTCATATTCTGTCTCTAGATTCATTTCTTTTCTCACTACTCCACATTGCCTCTTAGGATAAAAAGGACCTTGAATCTGAAGTACTAAAAACACATGTAAAGAAGAAAGGTGAAAATGATAATCAAATACAATTTGGGAATTTTCTGTGGGCTTCATTTACCTAGGGTCCAGCTGCCCTTAACCCCAGGGTCCCTTGAGAGCTGACTGTGCAGGGGCTAGACTTTTTGTCCAGCTCCACCTCTTTTGTGTGTAGAGGTTCAGAATATGTCACTCCAGAATATGCCACTTGGGCATATTGGTTATTTTGAATTAAAGGTACTTGAGAAACAGATGGTGCAGGAGGTACACTCCAACCTTCCTTTATCCCCCCCAAAAAAGGAGATGACTCTCCCATGTGAAAGATGCCTTCACTGTACCAGGAGAGTAGAAGACATCTTTCTCACCAGAGACAGGGAATTTGGGACCAAGAAGGCTATATAAATAAACCTTGTTAATTTGTCACCATTTACTACCCCTAGCCCAAGCCCCTCTGCCCTGTCAATTCTTCACACAGTGTTTGTCTAAAAGGTATAAAAGCTGGGTGCCTGGGTGGCTTAGTCATTAAGTGTCTGCCTTCAGTTCAGGTCATGATCCCGGGGATCCTGGGATCGAGCCCCACATCAGGCTCCCTGCTCCGCGGGAAGCCTGCTTCTCCCTCTCCCACTCCCCCTGCTTGTGTTTCCTCTCTCGCTGTGTCTCTCTCTGTCAAATAAAAAAAAAAAAATCTTTAAAAAAAAAAGGTATAAAAGCTTCCTGCTTTGGTCACCTCTTTGAGTCTCATATCTTTGTGGGGCTCCCATACATACGTATGTATGTAATTAAATTTGTTTTTCTCCTTTTAATCTGCCTTTTTATTACAGGGGGCTTCTCAGTCAAGCACCTGAAGGGTAGAGGATAAATTATTTTTCCTCTCCTACATGTGCATTACAGTACCCTTCCCCGGGTGTTCTCCAATATACTCTCTTGTCCAAATTGGAACCTGAATCTGTTGACCAGCTCTTCACTGCATCCTCCTCTGATGTCTGCATCCTGCTCCCAGTTGAACAGCCCAGATTCATTTGCCCTTTCCCTGACCTAGAGTATTCCAGTTCCCTGGCAATTCCGTCCCTCACCGTGGAACCCCCACCCCTCACCATGGTACCTAGCAATATCCCGTTCCATGCAAAAGGTCATTTTGACAGTGAAACTTAGACCTGGTCATCATCAGTGGGTGTCTTTATCACATTCTCAAAATGATTTCTGAATCATCTGGTGAGTGTAGTCTGATTTGGCAAAGAATCTACTAGTTTGGGTGCTATATCTTCAAGAGATGGGATTTTGATATTTGCAGTAGAATTTTAATGGGATTTATTATTTGAGTATAAGAAAAAAACTCCCTACATCTGAAACTAATGATGTACTATAAGTTGGCTAATTGAATTTAAATAAAAAATAAAATAAAATAAAATAAAATGAAGTCCAAAAGCCCTGAAGGGAAAGCTTTCATGCCAGTACCACTCCTTGCAGTCTGTATAACCAACAGGAAGAAGGAAGATAAGAATTATCTTGACAAGAGAGGACACTTTTCACATAGGAGTTTATCTCCTGCTTTTAAGAAAAAGGAAGATCCCCCTCTGCCCTAGCAATGTGCTAACCACTGCTTGCAGCCAGTGAGAAACCACCACAACCTCAAATTCTTCTCCAGTGAACTTTTGTTCAAAACAAACCTCCCAAATTTTCACTAAAACCTAATAAAAGCTGAACTTCCCTTTGTTTCTTAAAAAAAAAAAGAAAGAAAAAAGAAAAAAGAAAAAAACTCCCATTTCTTCAGTGAAAGTTCATTTTAAGCTAAATTTGGATGTAGGGCAAGATGAGGCTGAAGGGGTGAGGGGGCTGCGTGGGCTACTGGACACATACAGCAATGAGTGAGCCTAACTTGGTGGCTAAAGACCAAAGCCTTTCCTATAAGTGATAGATGAGGAGAGATGATTGAAATAACTAAGTAAGCAAACATCTACAGTGTCTCAGTTTCTGTAAATTCTGGAGTCCTTCTAGGAGGTAGAATTACCTAAGTTCCTTGGAATTACCCTTGGATAATAGATGATAGAGATAGATAGGTAGATGATAGATAGATCCGTAGATGATAGATAGATATAGATGGATAGATAGATGATAGATAGATATAGATAGATGATAGATGATAGATCTGTAGATGATAGATACAGATGGATATAGATAGATAGATGATAGATCTGTAGATGATAGATAGATATAGGTGGATAGATAGATGATAGATAGATAGATAGATGATAGAATAGATAGAATAGAAAGAATTTCGGTTTTCAATGTGCATAATTGCATCGGTGCAGATGTCCAGGCATTTTCAGTTAGGTGATAGATAGCAGAGATCCATAAGGTAAAGTTTTATCAATGCACCAAGAGTAAGGAGAAAATTCTTAGTGTACTGTGATCATAGTGGTTATTGAAAAGGACAGTGTGTAATGGTGCATTTGAAAAAGTGAAGTATGGCAAACACTTCCTGCAAAGATTTACAAGGTCCTTTTGAAAAATATATGTGACTCTGTATTGGAAAAGACCTGTTAACTCATAAGATCTC